TAGTTTTCAGGTAAGTCTTTCATAACATGCTAGTATGTGATACATATTAGCACATTATGCTCCTATCTGGCAGGAAGAAGTTTTTTTGTTGTATTTTTTGTGATTTACTACCGCTGTAATGCTCAGCAGAAGCACATCTGCTGAGCGGGTAAATTATGCGGCTTCTTCAATTTCTTTGTTACCCTCACACATGGAAGCACTTGGGTGAGCTCAGGTGTCCGCTCTGTGAGGCTCTATTCTCACCTAGGTGTTTTGGGATTGCAGCAGAAATGCTGTAATCCTGCCGTGATCTCAAAATGCACAATTGCAAAACGCAAGTTCAGATGCCATTATTTTCAATGGCACCTAGAACGCGGCGCATTTTTGCCACGATTGTCGTTCGATTTATTGCATGCAATCGCACAAATCACATCTCATGAAGTTTGTCACCCAAAAGAAACCCCTGCTCCTTTTTGGGTGCTAAGCTTCACATGATGTGATTTGCCATGCAACAATCGCTGCAAAACTGCACCGTGTTTTAGGTGCCATTGAAAATAATGGCACTTGAACCTGCGTTTTTCGATGGTAGTGCGTTTTGAGATCGCTGGCAGAATCACAGCGATTCTACCGTGATCACAAAATGCCCAGGTGTGAATGGAACCCTAGTCCTGATTCACACTGATGCATGTTTTATGCGATCCAAAAGGCATAGATTGCTGAAAATACATTGCTTTGTATGAAGGGCATTCATATCTATGCAGTGCAATTTTGATCCGGTTGAAAAAAAGGGTCCTGTGTGAGTCTGGAGCGATGCGCTTGAAACTCGCACAGCATAGAATATAGTGGCATTCTGAGATAACTGCTCACATAGGATGCGATTCATAGCCGGTTTTGCATAGAAGTGGCTAGAAAACAGATATGCATAGAAGTGGTTATAAGACAGATTTTTCATCTGAATTACACTTGAATCACCTTTGACAATCGCAATGAAAACTGACATGAAAATCGCACCGCATAAAGTGAACCCTGCTGCTTGCCTGCAACAGGGCTAAACGTAAAAAAAAAAACACCTGGCCGGCGCCTGGAACTGCATTTCCTGGGCATCGGGTGATTTGATTTGCGCATCCCTGTATACTATAGAGATGTAGGAATAATGTATTCATATTAAAATCTGATCCGTAATTGTTCAGGGTGGCTCAATTTTGAGATTGATCAGCATAAAAAGGACCCTTTTGCAAAGTAGACTTCATATGTATATCTGGAAAGGAGGAAAGGGAAGTGTAGCTGTAGGATGAAAACAGCTAAAGGGAAATTGATGGACACACTAAATTTAGCATTACATCTAAAAATATATAAGGACACCATCTGACTTTGTAATGATTTAGCTTAGAGGAGGAAATATAAAGAAGAGGATTAGTTATTTTGCACAGGGACGTAATATTTTATTGATGTTTATATGCAGGATCTCGTTGGCTGCAAGATCCTGAATAAAAAACACAAGTTATGTTCCAGAAAGACGTCAAGTATACATGTGGAAAATTCTTCTCCATTCTCTTCTAGCTGCAGGTGTTGCAATTTATATTCATAAGCATGTATAAACTTGTGCATAAGCGTGTAAAAATATCTGCACTCAAATATACATTTTTTCCAGCTTTAAACTCATTACTGTATTAAGGATCTTCATGGCTACAAACATGGTGTTTTGGGTTTTTTTTTTTTTTACCTGTGTGCAAGAGGCTTAAAAGTAGTATCAAACCCAAAAGCAAACATTTATTATACTGCAGCTTACATTTTTTAGATGCGATGGCTGCATTCGTTTTTTTAGGCTTTTTTTCTTTCTATTTTCACCTGGTGATCCAGCCAGTAAGTCTGTTGTTTACAGGTCTGAGACAGACCATTTACCACTGACAAGGGTGCTTACAATGATCAGTTTGATTTATTTATGTAAAAACCTTAACTGCTCAGTTTGATTTATTTATGTAAAAACCTTAACTGCTGTAGCTGCTTATAAAGTGTTAGCTGGAATTTGATTTCAGTTTTTTAATGTATCTAAATGTACTAGTATAGTATATCAAACACTCCCCTCCCCCTGGATTGACAATACTGCTGTCCAAAGGTGCTCCTGTGCTCCTTTATCTAGAGTGGGGACACTCTAATACAGGAGGTGTGTTGCTGGTTGGATCACCATGTGAACACAGAGGAGAAAAGGCCTTAAAAAAGGAAACAAATGTAGCCTCCACATCTAATGATTGGTAAGCTGCAGTGTATTATATTTTTGGTTTTGGGTTTAAAGTGGTTCTAAAGACTCCAGGTGTTTTGCCCACATGTATTCTATGCATGAAGGTAAAAAATCTCTTGTGTGTAGTAGCCCCCCACCCCACTGAATACTTACCTGAACCCCACCTAATCCAGCGATGTCCACAAGAGCCTTGGTTCTCTAAGGACTCCCACTCCTGATTGGCTGAGGCAGCAGTGGGAGCCATTGGCTCCCCCTGCTGTCAATCACAGCCAGTGAGCCAATCAGGAGAGGGAGGGGGCAGGGCAGAGCCGCAGCGCTGTGTGTAATGGGGCACACACAGCTGTGGCTTGGGAGTGCACCTACTCAAGTGCCCCCATAGCAAGCTGCTTGCCATGGGGGCACCCAACAGGAAGGAGGGGCCTGGAGTGTCGGTGGGTTACCTGAGAAGAGGAGGATCTGGGCTGCTTTGTGCACAGAGCAGGTAAGTATGACATGTTTGTAATTTAAAAAAAGAACAAGACTTTAGTATCACTTTATTACTGCTTTAAGCATTTTACCTTTATATATTACAAGGACATATTTGGAGTTTACATATGGTAATTGTTTGGGCTTAGATTCACTTTAAGTCTAAAATCCTTACTTGCTGACTCTTGCATGTGAACTTTTAAATATAAAGGGGTAGATTAACTAAAACTGGAGCACTCAGAATCTGCTGCAGCTGTGCATGGTAGCCAATCAGCTTCTAACTTCAGCTCATTCAATTAAGCATTGGCAATAAAACCTGGAAGCTGATTGATTTCTCTGCAAAGTTGCACCAGATTTTGCACTCTCCGACTTTAGTAAATAACCCTCAATGTGTAACTGAATTCTAAATTAACAATGAAGTTTAAAGAGGAATTTAAATTATAGACTGCATGTTTCCCATTCCACCTCCTCCCCACTATACATCATCTAATGGACAGATTGATGGCCAACCCACCGCAGCCAATGGAGCTGTCTAGTGAATGCGTAGTTTTGCACCCCCCACCTCCCAGTCTAGTATTTAGCAAGTGTTGGGGAGGAAATGGGGGACCTTTGCAAGAATGTTTATATTTTCAGTTCCACATTTTGCTTTTCTATAATATCAGCAGGAAAATTCATATGTGATAATGTCCAAGTGACAAAAAGCACATTACAATGTGTACAGTGAGTATAGTTATCACAGGACAATTTTCTCCTGTAAACACATGCATAGCTTAACTACCTGGTAAATATAGGCTACATTTGTACGTGAAAATAATGTAAGGAAGAAGATATACATATATACATATCCATTAAAAAAAACATATTTTTCATTCTAGAAAAGGTACTTTAAAGACCTGCAGTCAAATAATTAGGATATTTTGGCCAGTTGCTACAGATGATGCGATTGTTATATCTGGATATCAAATATAAAACAAGCTAGGTATAAAGTAATAGTAACACAATCAACATATAAAACACATAAACTGCCTTTAGAATTACAAAAGAGAATTAAAATAGAGTTTTAGGAGTAGATGTACCTGATATGGAGAGAACAATAAGGCACGTTGTAGTCAAATCCATTTCCTTCCTTCTGTACCTACTTTCTTACTGTTTGGATTGCTGGTGGAATGATGAAATTTCACACTGTTGAACCTTGTCTGCTGTGAGGCTCTGTTCAGCTTCCGGTTGCAGGGATTGGAATGGAACCACTGGGCTATTATTGCTCTCCACCTGTTCATGGGACAGCTGAGCCTCTGGCAACTTTAGAAAAGATCCAGCAGACAGTTCTCTGACAGCTTGTTTGTGCCTAACGTTTTGGCCTCTCTGTCTGTTATAGAATGGCATTAACAAAATACACCTTAAAGCTGAACTCCGGTAAATAAAAAAAAAATGACCCTTGCAGTGGGCACCTCCACTCTCCAAGGGTTAAATACTCGTTAGGTAAAGAGGTAGAAAAATAAGGTGAATGTGATACTCTCTCTTTAGTCTGACACTCCGGGTTGTGGGCTGACCCTTGACATCCCCACATACAATGCAGGACTATTGGTTCTGCATTTTACTTGATGGTGTAAGCATGACTGCTGGCCAGCTGGAGCAAGGAATAAGGTAAGTACAGCTTATGTCACTACCCATAGACTTAACAAACCTTTAACCCTTGCAGTGGTGGTGGTGGTGATGTGTGTATATGTGTGTAGGGGGGGCAAGGGTAATTTTTTTGTAATTCTCATAGACCAGCTTTAAAGTATATGTAAACCCCAACAATGAACTTCAACCTCTTGCTCTATTTTGGTTTCTTAACCTCCCTGGCGGTATGATTATTTCAGATTTTTGGTGCTGAAAGCGGTACCATTTTTTTGCATGGAAATATGTATTTTTTTTTATTGTAGGCTGTAATTTTTAGAAAGAAAAAACTCACTGAAATCTGTCCGAACAAGAGTCTAGTAAACATCCCGGGTATGATAAAATTTGAAAACACAAAATCATAAATTATAATTTAATAAATAATCATAAAAATAATATAAAAATAATAAAAAATTTATTCAATAATATAATCAAACCAAAAACACTGAAATGTGAAATAGAGCGCCAAGATTCGCACATTGCTGAGCTCAGTCGCAAAAATCGTTTTCAGTTTCTGATGACGAATTTCCCCACGAATCATTATCACTCAATTCTGTAAGTGGTTCTGATTTACTATCGCTGTTCTCTAGCTGATCTAAACCGCTTTTGACCTAAAAGGGACACTTTTGGACGCCATGGACATTTCTCAGTTTCCAGGCAGAAAGAACAGACAAAATGCAGGCAGGGCGCAGGACAAAGCACTAGGGACAATAAAGTATGGTGAAATAGGTTGAAACAGCAATGTTTTACTGTTAGTAAAATGAAAAAAAAAAAAAAATGAATTTTTTTCTTTTTAAATTTCTCGCCGCCGCCGGCGGCGGGCGCCCTTACGTCCCGATGTCACAGGGACAGGACACAGAAGCCGGATGCCGGCATCAGCCGGCAGGAGATGGCCGGGGACGCTGCAGGGGACACATCGCGGGAGCGCAGGGTAAGGTAAGTGAAGAACACAAAACCGGAGCAGCGCCCGCATGGTATTCCCGAGTGTGTAGCTCGGGGTTACCACTTTTGGTACTGAAATGTTACCCCGAGCTAAACTCGGGAATACCGCCAAGGAGGTTAACCACTTGCCTACCAGGCACTTATACCCCCTTATTTACCAGGCCAATTTTCAGCTTTCAGCGCTGCCGCACTTTGATTGACAATTGCGCGGTCATGCAACATTGTACCCATATGAAATTTTGATCATTTTTTTCTCACAAATAGAGCTTTCTTTTGGTGGTATTTAATCGCCACTGGGCACTTTACTTTTTGCGCTATAAAAAAAAAATGCAAAAAATTTGAAAAAAAAAAAAAAAAGTTTCTTTGTTTCTATTATAAAATTTTTCAAACAGGTATTTTTTCTCCTTCACTGATGTGCGTTGATGAGGCAGCACTGATGGGCACTGATAGGCGGCACTGATGGGCACTGATAGGCAGCACTGAAGGGCACTGATAGACAGCACTAATGAGGTGTCACGGATAGGCGGCACTAATATGCAGCACTGATAGGCGGCACTGATAGGTGACACTGATGATGGGTACTGATAGACGGCACTGACTGGCATCACTGCTGGGCACTGACTGGCGGCACTGACTGGCACAACCGCTGGGCACTGACTGGTGGCACTGACTGGCAGCACTGCTGGGCTGCACTGGTGGGTGGCACTGGTGGGCAGCACTGGTGGGTGGGCACAGGTGGGTGGCACTGGTGGGCACAGGTGGGTGGCACTTCTGGGCACAGGTGTGTGACACTGCAGAGTGGCACAGGTGGGTGCACTGCTGGGCACAGGTGGGTGATCTGCTGGGCACAGGTGGGTGGAGCTAGTGGGCGCACTGCTGGGCACAGGTGGGCAGAACTTGCGGGTGGCACTGCTGGGCACCGATCATCAGGGCACTGATCATCAGTGCCCTGATGATCAGTGCCGATCCCCGCTCTGACAACTGCCGGTTCTCGGCAGTACTTTCCTCACGATCTGACAGCGTGAGGAAAGTGCAGCCGAGAACCGGCACTTGCATTTCCCTCTGATCAGCGTGTCATTGGACACCGCTGATCACGTGGTAAAAGGCCGCTGTGATTGGCCTTTTACCACATCACGTAATCAGCTGTGTCCGTAGGACACAGCGATCACGGAGATCGCTGGGTGCGCGCCCCCTGGGGCGCGCAGGAGAGCGCGTTCTGGGGGGACGTCATATGACGTCCACTCAGAACTGGCCGGCCGCAGTGCAGCCGTCATTCGGCTATCTGCGGTCGGCAGGTAGTTAATTATGTAATAGAAAGCATTTTATTATATACAGAAGGTAAAAAAGGTATTGAACACGTCACCATTTCTCTCAGTAAACATATTTCTAAAGGTGCTATTGACATTTTTCCCAATTTTCACCACATCGGTAACAACCCATGCAATCCATACATACAAAGAAACCAAAACAAATAAGCTCATAAATTAACCCCTTTGCGCCAGCGTCTCCCGGCCCTTTAAGAGTTTCAGAAGCCAAGAAGCGGGCAGGGTTTTAGGGTCATGTGACCGCCGTGATGCGCCATCACGACGATCACATGATCGGAAAAGGTCCTGATCGCAAGGGGTGATCAGGACCTTTCTGTGAGTCACGAACATATGTGCAGGGTGCGCGCTCTCAGCACATATGTATTTTTTAATGGCACGCAAATTTGCGGCTGCTCGGTGTCAAGGCCCAGATTTTTTTCCTGCTTTATTCTATTATTACAATTTTTTTTAAATTTATTTTTCCTTCTCAAACTTCCCTCCCCTCTTCTTTCTTTCCTGACCACCCTCCCTCCCCCATACTTTTTTTTTTGGACCCTGATGGGGCTCAGAGCGGCCTGTTATTACCAACTGTGCACTTTGCTGGTAACATGGTAACATTACAGGGGCACCTTTTCCACTCACTGTATACCTCTTTTGGTGTCTAGTTATTATTACTACTATTGTTATTATCCTTTGAGATGTACCAATGTTGCTGCCATTGCATTATATGTTCTTGCCTTTATTCAAGGCTTTTGCTTTATCCCCACTTTGTTCTCTGTATGTCCTATCTCTGTAAGTCCTATTTTATAAGGACATGTTTTCTGTTTTTGTATTTGTAATTTGTTTGTTTAAAAACTTCAATAAATTTACACTGAACACATAGACCAGAGATGGGTCGTGCAGCAAGGTGCTGTGGCTAAAGGCTAGAGCAGGGTTTCTCAACTAGAGTTCCTCCAGAGGTTGCTAGGGGTTCCTTGAGCAATGAGCAATTTCTGCCTCACAGATAAGTTCCCACTGACACCATTGATCTTTTTAGCTATCATTACGGGGGTAATTCTATCCAGTAATCACAAATATAAGGTGCATTCATCCCACTGATCATCACTCTAATGTATTATGAGTTGTAGATATAGTCATTTTTAACAGAGGTTCCCTGAGACTGGAAAGTTATCTTAGGGGTTCCTCTGTCTCGAAAAGCTTGAGAAAGGCTGGGCTAGAGAGTCAAGTATTCTGGAGAGCTGGACAACACAGTCTGAGAGATTGGTAAGAGGTGAGCATAGTACTGCCATTGGAGCTGAGTGAGCTTAAGAGCCAGGTGGCTCTGCATTTTCTAGTGGGTGTATTTTTGCTGAAGGTGGAGAAAATCCCCTGCACGAGAAGTCATTTGTTTGTGAATGTTTGCCTTCTTTTAAATAAAAGTGCGCTACCAAGCCCTTAAAAATAGTTCCTGTCTGCTGTGGGCTCACTATATAAACACATCTACCACGAGAGCTAACTACCCCATGTCAGAATATATTATATAATTGCAAACAAATAACTGTTGATCCTGCCAGAAATGCAGTACTGTCAGTACAGTCAAAAGGAAAAGAGGCTAAAACCCTGCATGAGGAAAAGCTTCTTTAAAGTAAGAGCTGTGATAATGTGCAATAGATTTCAATAGGAGTTAGTTCTAACCAGCTAAATAGAATGCTTCAAATAAGCTGAAAGTATTTCTAACTCTAAGAAATAAAACAGGCTAGTAATATCTGTAAAACAGGGTAAATATGACATTTTTGATTGGTGATCTAGGAAGTACCTGATAATAAATTTCTTTGCTTCATATGAATCAATTACATGTTTAGATTTCAAGGTATTTTTAAGTGTTAGTACCCCCCCCCCAAAAAAAAAAAAAATAATGTAAAGAACAAAATGTAAAAAGAAATAAAAAATTTAAAACAAAGTGTTTTTTTTTTGTTTACATATTGTCACCAGTTACTGTCCCTGATCACTGCCACCATTATATGATGAAACTGTAATGCTCTGGTGACAGTATGTAAAGAGAAAATTGAAAACATAAAACATAAAAGAGCAAATTTTATTTATTTCTTAACTTGCCACAAAAAAAAATTACAACTTCAAAAAACTCACTCTGCTTCTTACTAAACACATTAGACTGTGTACTTTCCAAAAAGGGGTATTTTGTAGTGTATTTGTACTGTCTTAACATTTTAGGGACTCACAAACTGAGACAGGCCGTCAGTACATCAGGACTGATAAATTTTCAGATATGTATCTCATAGTTTGTAGACTCTATAACTCTCACTTAGAATAAATAATGTACACTAATTTGTGATATTTTCATCTAAGAAATTCAGCAGAATACATTTTGGCCTAGAAACTGAAATAGAGATTTTCAAAATTTTCAGTATTACGGGACACCAATACATAAGAACTACATACCTACGGTAATATCCCCAGAGGCCTCAAACTTTATAAATCTCAAGACATTGCAAACTGCTTTGTAACTATTAGGAGAAACTTTACAATTTACACCTAACAATGACACCCCAATAGATCCCTGGGCCCAATCATCAGTAATAATGACTATCTTCAAAGTTCGGGTCTCCCTCAATGGACCGGCGCAGCAGATAGAGAGGAAATGGAGGGTCCCATAACCGGAAGTCCTAAAGGTGATGCAGAGGATGGAGATGAACCGTGCTCCTGGCCCCGGATGGCCCTCCCCTTTTTTCTGACCATCTAGTGCCCAGACTGCCCAGATTGGTGAATTTTTGCAACTCCCTGTTTGAATGGAGAGGCCTTACCCGCTAGCTACCCTTACTGCTCACATTACCTTAATTCCCAAGGAGGGTAAAGATGGTTCACACTGTGCAAAATTATTTTCCAATCTCTCTGCTAAATGTAGACCCTTAAGATCTTCACAAAGGTTTTAGCCTCTTTTTTAATTTCTGCCTTCCTTGGTCCATAATGAACAAGTGGGTTTCATTTCAAACAGGGGCTAGAGACAATACTTGCAGGGACCCTCAACCTAATTCACTTGGCCCGTTACAGCGATATGCTACTCTGCTGATATTAGCAGATGCAGAGAAGGCCTTTGTCAGGGTCAACTGACTCTTTCTGATATGAACCTTGAGACACATTGGTTTGGGAGCCAATATGTGCACCTGGGTGGATGCAATTTATTCTCACCCAATAGTGGCAGTAAGAGCTAATGAAGTTTTGTCATCTACATTTTCACTAAGCAACAATTACTAGACAGGGGTGCCCTTTGTCCCCCTGATTTTTGTATTGGTCCTGGCCTATCTGGACATCAGCGGTCTACAGGGCAGGGACATGCAGGATAACATAGTGGCTTACGCCGACAACCTTCTCTTCTATATTACATGTCCAGACATAACTATCCTCAACCTCCTTTGGGAGTTGCAAAACTATGCAACATTATCAAACTACAAAATAAATGTTCACAAAATCAGAGGTCCTAAATATTAATTTGAACGCCTGAAAGCTCTTTGTTGACTTTGAACTAACTTTCCTTTTACCTGGTTTGGTCATAACAGCATATTGAAAATGACAGTCCTACCAAGAGTTTTTTATTTTTTTAAAAGCCCTCCTGCTAGCTATTCCCCCTCTCTTTTCTCCGAGAGCGACCAAAACGGAATTTCTGAACTTCTCTATGGAGTTATAAAACGAAAAGCATTCCCTACCGGTTTCTTGCCCTACCCTAAATATTACTATGTTATTTCATATGTGCTGTACTTTAGACTGGATTAAACATAGG